GGGATGTGCCCGCAACCAAGGTACATGCCCTTGACCGGAATCGAACCTGGGACCCTTGAGTCTGCAGGCCGACGCTCTATCCATTGAGCCAAACCGGTTCGGCAGCATCCCTCTTTTCTGTTTAAGCAGCCAAAGTGTCTTTTTGAGTGTCCTAAGAAACGTCAATGTAGGTTTTTTTGTAGAGCATGCATTTTTTGTGATGGTTCTCTTGAGCAGTTCATGTCTGTCGTCCTTGTGTGCTGTGTGAATGGTTAGCTGTGCATGACAGTTCCCTTGTGAAAGCAGTAGCGGTTGTTGAGCTCCCAGCTTTCTGGGGGAGTGTGATGTATAGCAATGAGCGCCCTTTTTAAGTGTTTGGGGATGTGTGTTGCATGTATGTCCCCTAAAGAAAGAATGTGGAACGATCCTGATGTCATTGTTCAGAGTGGTTTATTTTGCCATGGGTTTTTTTTTTTTTTTTTTTGCCACTCACTCATCTGTGCACATCCTTTCCCGAAATGCACATTGTGTGTCCTAAGGCAGTGTCATCCATGGGTATTCTAATGGGCAGTGTCATCCATGGGTACTCTAATGGACCTTGTGCAGAATGACTTTGAAAGAGGGCAATGTCCATTGAATAGCGGGTGGGCGGGGGTGAGATGCTGAATTGAAGTGTATGATTTTGGTGATATGTATTGTTGAAGGCTTTTAAGTGAAACTAGTTTCTGGATTGTTTTACAGAGAGGAATGGAGAGGGAGAAGCGAGCCAAACCGGTTCGGCAGCATCCCTCTTTTCTGTTTAAGCAGCCAAAGTGTCTTTTTGAGTGTCCTAAGAAACGTCAATGTAGGTTTTTTTGTAGAGCATGCATTTTTTGTGATGGTTCTCTTGAGCAGTTCATGTCTGTCGTCCTTGTGTGCTGTGTGAATGGTTAGCTGTGCATGACAGTTCCCTTGTGAAAGCAGTAGCGGTTGTTTATCTCCCAGCTTTCTGGGGGAGTGTGATGTATAGCAATGAGCGCCCTTTTTAAGTGTTTGGGGATGTGTGTTGCATGTATGTCCCCTAAAGAAAGAATGTGGAACGATCCTGATGTCATTGTTCAGAGTGGTTTATTTTGCCATGGGTTTTTTTTTTTTTTTTTTTCCCCTCCCTCCT